TGGCAAGGGTCAAAATATTTAAAGCATAAAACATTGCTGATTCCTGCTCTGTGATGGGTGAATGATAATGAGCCTTATCACGGAACAGATAATCCTAAAATATTTTAAAATTATGAATTACATTAATTATACTACAAGTGATTTTACACACGTAAATATTATAAATAATCTTCCATTAATAGAATTAACGCCCTATTCACAACGATAACTTTTAACACTTTTTATTTTAAAGTGTGGTTTCTCTGTAAAAAAGAGTCACGATAAATGACGTGAACAGTTTCTTTAAATATAATGTTATTGCGGAGGTAAAGTCTAATTGTTATTTAAAATATTATTTTTTATTGTTATTATTATGTCTTTTATGTCTATTTTATTTCCAATTGTATTTTAAAATGTCAATAAAATAGACAATTCTTCAGATCTATATCTGTATCTTTTATATAATTGTCTGCGTATTCATCTATCTATATATCTTTCTATGGATATGGATATATATCTTTCTATGTATATATGTCTATGTATTTAAGTCTATGTATATATCAATCTAGTGTCTATGTATCCATATATCTAGTGCCTATGTATCCATCTATCTAGTGTCTATGCATCTATCTAGTGTCTATGTATCTATCTATCTAGTTTATATGTATCCATCTATCTAGTGTCTATGTATCCATCTATCTAGTGTCTATGTATCCATCTATGTATCTATAAATCTACTGTCTCACCCTGAACTAACGAGAGAGAGAAGCATTCGGTTTCTTTTATTTAAAATCTAACGTGTTTTCGTCTATAACTCAACAGTCTTTAGACTTAGAGATTTGTTTATTTTATACTTTTTCATTCAAAATGTATATGCCAACAAAATAATATTTTAGATAAAAGGCTATAAAATTATGTATAAGGGGTCATATTGTGATCGAAAGTCACAGTTTTCTGAAATATTGACAGAACCGTTAAATCCACGTGGTCTGTGTAGTGTGTATCCATCTATCTAGTGTCTATGTATCCATCTATCTAGTGTCTATGTATCCATCTATCTAGTGGCTATGTATCCATCTATCTAGTGTCTATGTATCCATCTATCTAGTGTCTATGTATATATCTATCTAGTGTCTGTATCTATCAATCTAGTGTCTGTATCTTTCTATCTAGTGTCTATGTATCTATCTATCTAGTGTCTATGTATCTATCTATCTAGTGTCTATGTATCTATCTATCTAGTGTCTATGTATCTATCTATCTAGTGTCTATGTATCCATCTATCTAGTGGCTATGCATCCATCTATCTAGTGTCTATCTATCTATCTATCTATCTAGTGTCTATGTATCTATCTATCTAGTGTCTATGTATCTATCTATCTAGTGTGGTGTCCCAATAAACAGAACTGTTAGTAAATATATAGGACATGGTGTCCCAATAAACAGAACTGTTAGTAAATATATAGAACAGGGTGTTCCAATAAACAGAACTGGTAGTAAATATATAGGACAGGGTGTCCCAATAAACACAACTGTTAGTAAATATATAGGACATGGTGTCCCAATAAACAGAACTGTTAGTAAATATATAGAACAGGGTGTTCCAATAAACAGAACTAGTAGTAAATATATAGGACAGGGTGTCCCAATAAAAATAACAGGTGAAAGACAGTATGATTGTCATCTTTGATCTTTGATAGCAATCTAAAAGCCAATGTTTGTCAAAAAAAATCCCAACATATGAGTTTTCAGTAGGTATTTTCACCACATTATAAAAGCTCTCAAATGGTTAATGGAATTGAGTTTTTGCCACAAACTCAAAAATTATAATTTCTATATCTTTGCAACCTTATAGCGTACATCTTTGAAATTTCAAACTAAGACTTTTTGATCTAACATAATGTATAATTGGAAATATTAAAGGTCTACAACTTCGGGTTGTTTTTTAGATATATGGAATAGAAAATCAGAGTTGTGACCAGAACTCAATTCCTTTATTTGACACTTTTTTGTCATAAAATGGCTTTCAAAGATGAAAGACGATTTTAAACTGTCATTTTTAGCGAAATACTTTGTACCGGGCCGAGGTGTAATATCTGCCTAAGAAAAGCACGTCAAACTAATGTAAATTTCATGTCAGATTGAAATGTAGTATGTTTTCAATTATAACTACTTTAATTGAATTTTTAATTATATAAAAGAATATATTTACTTTACTCATAGTTGTGCATAAAGTCAAAGTAAAGGCTCTACGTGGTCACAAAGTCGTATCAATGTTGTCGTATATATCTTACTTTCTCCTTCTAAATTCCAGTGAAAGGAGTAGAGGGTTTATTTACAGTTGATTATTTGGACAGCTGAGGAACTAGCTTTGTTGTTAACAATAATAAAGAATGTAAACAAATCTTGGAGTTATTTT